ATCCTCCTATACGTGCAAACATACGATATTTGTCCTTCTCTGCCTGACTTATTTCGCTCAGCATAACACCCTCAAGGTCCATCCATGTTGCTACACATGGCCAGATTTCATCCATCAACAGATGAATGGATCAAGAAGATGTGGTTTATCTATACGATGGAATACTACATGGCATTATTTTTTTATACTTAATGAAAAAATGAACTAGTGAAAGATAATTCTTTTTAGTTACTCTGAATAAGTTATTTTTTCAATTTGAGTTAGATTTTCTGTTGCAAAAATTATATTGGTCTAATATTTGTTTCCGTTTAGAGGACATCCATGTTCAATTCTTTCCTGGGATTGTTCCTAATGACTGATTTATATTCATAAATATTTGTAGGCTAGCTAATGGTAAAGGTATTTCTATTTGGTATTAAGATAGTATTTCAGGGGTGCCTAAGTGGCTCAGTCGGTTAAGCATCCGACTCTGATCTCAGCTCAGTTGTTGACCTCAAGGTCACGAGTTCAAGCCCTGTGTTGGGCTCTGCACTGGGCATGAAGCCTACTTAAAAAAAAAAAAAAAAAAGTAATATTTCAAACACACAGCTAAGGTGTACAATTAATTATATTCATGCTCTTTGGATTTCTTTGCTCTACACTCCCAGCACTGAGCCTGACACGGGTCTGACATGGGGCTCAACCCAGAAACCTGTGAGATGGTGACCTGATTCAAAATCAAGAGTCTGATGCTTAACTGACTGAGCCACCCAGGTGCCCCCAAAGAGAAGATTTTTTAAAAGATAATTCCTAACACGTACTTTATCCCTAATACTAATAAGACTTGTTAAAACATACATTACTCCTGACTTTCATCCTTTAAATTTTTATTTCTTTTTTTACTTTTGTGAACTTGACAGTTTTGAAGATTTTATGCTAATTATTTTGTAAGCAGTCCTTATATTTGGATATGTTTGAAGTTTCTTCACAAATCTGAAGTTTCAGATTATGTATGTTTGATGGGAATATCCCAGAAGAGATGCTGTGTTTTCAGCACATCCTAATTGGGTGGTATACAATTTCAATTTTTGTCTTTATTGATAATGTTCATGACCAGTTGACTAAGACTGTGTCTGGTAGTTTTCTCCATTGCAAAGTTACTTTTCTTTTGGAATTAATTAGTATTTCATAGGGAGATATTTTGAGATTATGTAAATGTCCTGTTCCTTATTAAACTTAAAGTATATTATTTATCTTATCCCTGTGGACTCAGGTTTCCTATTCAGTGGTTTTAATCCATTACTATCATTATTTATTTTGATATTTACATTGTTTCTGATGTGGCCAGTGGGACCCCTCTCAAGCTGAGTCTGTCTCTTTGTGACAAGTCCCTATCAGTATTTAAACATTTCCATTCTTTCTGGCAAAGCAGATCTTTCGGGATGTTTAATGTACTTTCCCTTCCCTACACACTGGAGTCAGTTACTTCTGTAAATAGTTTGGTTCCTTTTAGAGGAGAGTGGTATCTAGAAGTCAGTGGTGCTTTAGGTATGCTTATTGCTATTGGAGTGTCATTTTTCCCAGGATTTCAGTGGGCAGAGCGTAGGGTCTGTATGTTTGTATGTACATATATTTACAGCTATATTCATTTTTTAAATCTATCTCTATATATTGAAAACCAATTCTATTCTACCAACACAGGGTTTATTCTAATTTTCTCCCTTTCTTTATTTGTATTTCTCTTCTCAGACAGTGAGAAACTTGGGGGTCTCCTATCTTTTACTTATTTAATCACCTGTATGCACTCAGTCTTCTATCTCAGTGACCATTTCCCCCCTCTATGGATGCCCTTATTTCATGTAAGTTCTGACATACCATGTTGGGCTACTCCCATATGTGGATGTCTTCTGCACTTTGACACCCACATTGCCCCATGTGAATGTCCTTCTCACCCACCTGTGGTTCTGATACAGTGTCAGCCTGGCTCTCTGCATGGACATCTTCCTCATCCAGCTTAGGCTCTGATTGGGTTTTGACAGCCCACTCTGGGTCAGATGCAGTAGATCAGAATTCAGGGTTCTTGGGGTACCTGGCTGGCTCAGTTAGAAGAGCATGTGCACTTGATCTTGGGGTCATGAACTCAAGCCACATATTGGCTATAGAGATTAAAAAAAAAAAACTTAAAAAAAAGAATTCAGGGGCCTTTATGGTCTTCATAGTTCTGTTCTAGAGTTTTAATATTTGGCTGCATCTAATGATGGAATATTATACTAGGGCACATTGCCCATGTATATAATGCTTTTGGTTCTTAGATTTAAAAAAACAACAACCCCACCTTGTTATTGAAAGTATAACATATATATTGAAAAGTATAAAGATCATAAGGGTATATTTTTGAACTATCAAAAAATGAACATGTCCATAAAATCACTCAAGAAATAAAATATTAGCAGTTTCTTAGGAGTCCTACTTATAACCTTTCCCAGTCACCCCTTAGTAAATATTTTTAATCTAACCAATAGAAGTAAACTGCATTCTTTAAAATTATATGTCTCAGTGCACATGGTTGGCTCAGTCATAAGAGCAGTGACTCTTGATCTCAGGGTTGTAAGTTCGAGCCCCATGTTGGGTGTAGAGATTACTTAAAAATAAAATCTTAAAGGGGCACCTGGGTGGCTCAGTCAGTTCAGCGTCCAACTTTGGCTCAGGTCATGATCTCATGGTTCATGGGTTCGAGCCCCATGTCGGGCCCCGTGCTGGCAGCTAGCTCAGACACTAGAGCCTGTTTCGGATTCTGTGTCTCCCTCTCTGACCCTCTTCTGTTCATGCTGTCTCTCTGTCTCTCTCTCAGAAATAAATAAAACAAAAAAAATAAATAAAAGTAAAATCTTAAAAATTATATGTCCCAATTAATGGCATGGTGAATAGAATGGAGCTTTAATAAGTACACAGAATTGAATATTTTTAACAACTCTATTTAAAAAGTTAATTATAGCTATAATACATCTATTCAAAGTTTCGAGAAAGTTTGGAGCAGTCAGTCACTAGGGGGCAGCCTGTACTGCTTCCACTTCAGAAACAAGTTGCATTCTTTTGTTAGTAACTAGAATTATTTTGCATGAAAGGAAACAAATGTTAATTCAAAGAAAAAATATTTCACTATTCATATATAGGAATAAAACGGACACAATTATTTTGTTTTCCTGTAATTCAGTTGCAAAGACAGAGTCCTTGGTTAAATCACTCTAAACATGGAGGAAGCCTTGCTTTGCTTTTTAGTCCTAGGAGAACATCTGAATTTGAATGGGTTTGGAAGGTTTTTTGAGTCTAAACAAGCTTCAGATAACTTGCCCTTGCTTTCCTCTAATTTTCTTTTTCTCCTACAAATTTCCCTGAAGCACTGTACTAGATTCAAGATGACTGGAGAAAAGCAAGCAACAACTCAGAATCCAACAGTTGAGGCATTTCCATCCACTAGTTTCATTTGGCGTTGCTTAGTGGCAATTCCTTTTGGTAGCACCTGTGAAAAATATCAGGAAGTGTGAAAGAGAAAAGTTGGTCTTACTTGATTTCAGTTTTTTACTGCTCTTTTCCTCATTCCCTTCTAGTTTTGTGTAAGTCTTTTCTAATTAGATTGATAAACCTTCTAGTTCTTGCAAATCCCTAGAATAGATGAACTCCTATCCATATACTCTTGATCTTATTTATATTATTTCTAATAACATGAAAAGATTCTTTATGTCCTCCTCCCTGCCTACCCACTCCCAACCCCAATCCTGACATATATGTATAGTATGGTTTGGCGTCTTTATTTCCCAGAACGTTTTACTATAATCTAATGTTATTTCTTCTTTTCTATAGATAGAGACATAGGGATCTACCAGTATTATGACAAGAAAGACCCACCAGGTAAAGTATCTATTCTACTCAACTAATTTTTATAAATGAAATATTCGAAATGGTAAAAAACTGACCATTAAAAACCCATTTTTTGAGCTTTAGATAAATTCTAAATTAAAAAAAAAGTCATTTCAGTTCTTTAGAAAAATGCTGAGGTTGATATCTGTTCTATATAAAATAAAGCAATATTGAGAAAATGCTGTAGAAGAACATGAAAATGTTCATTTTATTGCCGATCTGACTGATAACTGGACAGTCTATTCACGTTTATTTATCAGTGTCCCAGTAGAGGGCATTGTTAATGCGTGGGTCCCACTGGTGCTGGCCTCCTGGATCCTCACCTGATATCTGAAATAGGCATTTCTGAGTGAATGATCAATTTTCCTTATCTGATTAATCCTGTTAATCCCAGAAGTTTCATGATGGGCCAAAAGGTCTTTCTAGCTAGTTACTTCCTGTTTGGGTCTCTGTTGAAGTGGGGCTGGTGTGGGTATCCCATGTGCTCAGCTTGGTGGTTAATAGGCTAGCTTCATGGTTCTGATGACAGACTGAAGCAGCTTCTGTTCTCGACTCCGTTGCAGTTCTCTTCCCTATCTGATGAGATTGTGAGCTCAGGATATTGGCCCACCTGTTGTGCTATGTAAGCCTTTGCACTACAAGTTTAGGAAATACCTCTGTGAAATGAAAACATCCACATTATGGCATTTTCTTCAACTGCCTTTTAAAAAATGTATACATACTCATTAATCTCAACAGTGTACATGGTATATACATTATATATATGCATTTAAAAGTACAAAGTATTAAAATAATTTCCACTTTTATTTTCTTTTTTCCTTCTCTCTTCTGCCAAAGTATCAGTGACAGAGCATGGTAACTTAGAAGAAAAGCAGAAGCTGGCAGAATGTAAGCTGACTTTATATCTTTTGGAATTATTATAAAACTGGAATTTTAATATCCCTGAAGATTCAGTCTTAGAAAATATTTTAAGCTTTCTGTACAAGTAGGTAATGTTATTCCTTCCAAATTTCTTATGATTATAAATTCCCATTGTTTAGGTGTATAAACATGATGAGAGTTATGTTTCTTAGACATTTCTAATTCAGACCATTGAAATCTCTGTCCAGTTTTGATAAGATCTATGCTTGTGTAAACATAAAGTTTCTTAATGAACCATATTTATATCATTTAATATATTTAAAATAAGTATATCATATTTAAATTCTGATAACATTTTCTTATACATACCATGCCTAAATGATTATGTTTTACGCATTTTAAGAAAATAAAATTTGTTAAAAAGAAAAGAAAGAAACTTTTCTTAGTTGATTAGTATTAGCACTTTATTCTTTCTAGTCTTATCTGTTCTCAGGTATTATAAATATGTTATATATGTAATTTGGCTACAATAAAATATGGTTTTGATGATTGAAATGAAATATAATTTAAGTTTTATATGGAATACAGGTAGAGCTAAAAATCCTACTTGTTCCCATGTTTTAATGGTCAAGCTGACATTTAATTTTTTTTTTAATTATTTTTTTATTTTTTTATTTATTTCTAGGAGAGAGAGAGAGACAGCGTGAGCAGGGGAGGGTCAGAGAGAGAGGGAGTGACAGACTCTGAAACAGGCTCCAGGCTCCGAGCTGGCAGTCAGCACAGAGCCCGACGCGGGGCTCGAACCCACGAACCGCGAGATCGTGACCTGAGCGAAAGTCGGACGCTTAACCGACTAAGCCACCCAGGCGCCCCTGACATTTAATTTTTTTAAATGCTATATTAGTAGCTGCAACATCAATTTAAAACCTTGTACATATGCTCTATACATCATACATTATGTTTTTGAATGAAATTAAATTTCCTGAAATAAGATACATAGTAATTCTGTAAAATTTAAATGACTATGTATACTATATACACTATATATTATATGAGTATGCATATAGAACATATGCATATATGTATAACTCGTACTTAGAATTATTATTTAGGAGAATTCAAAGACGAATTTATTGGGGCGCCTGGGTGGCTTAGTCCGTTAAGCGTCCGACTTTCGCTTAGGGCATGATCTCGCAGTTCATGGGTTCAAGCCCCGCGTCGGGCTCTGTGCTGACTGCCAGCTCAGAGCCTGGAGCCTGTTTCAGTCTGTGACTCCCTTTCTCTCTGATCCTCCCCTGCTCACGCTGTCTCTCTCTCTCTCTCTCTCTCCTAGAAATAAATAAAACATTAAAAAAAAACAAAGATGAATATATTTTCCTCATAAAACATATCATTATAAGGAATTTAACATGTTCTTTTAAATAAACTATTTTTTTAGTTTGTCTTAGGCTAACATTGAGTTTCTACTAAAAAATATTTTTATCTTTTAAAAGCATTTAAAGCAAAAAAAGAGCTTATCATTACTGAATTGTGGTATAGATTTTAAAGAGGATCATTTTAAATAAAAAAGTGTTAATAGGTGATGTTTACTTTAAAATTTATATTTTGTGCATCATGATCTGTATCATCTTTCTTTCCTTAGTATATTCATTCATTCATAAGAATTTTTAGGTTTGAGAAGGCTACTTGAAATTTCTTTCAGATTGAACTTTAATTATTCATGTGAAAAGTTACTTCTCTAGTAAAGCGTTGGTCATTTACAATTAGGTACTAGATTCACAGGATGAGGAAACTTTCCCAGGGATTCTATGAGCCGTGTTGGTTGTCATCATAAAATTATGATCACCGAGATTGTTTTGTGGTAAAAATCCTGTTCCTATGACAAAGCCTTTCAAAAGGCTGTTATTTGATGATGGAAATGAAGCCCACTTCCTCTCAATTAAGGAGGTGTTTTAATTTAATCCTCCCAAGGAACACTGCTAAGCAGTGTTTCCTTTTTAAATCATGTTTAACTAACGTAGTACATGTTTCATTTGCCAGCACGAGATTATCCGTGGACACTCAAAAATAGACGCCCAGAAAAACTTCGAGACTCACTCAAGGAGTTGGAGGTATCCTTCCAAAAGTTTCAAAAATGGCAACAAACAAATCTGTTTTAAAACATCTTTCAACAGCTTTAATTTTCATAAAGGATCAACTCTCCTAGTGATGATAGCTTTGCTTTTGTCTAGTGAGGAGTTCCAAAACAGTTCCATCTTTGTGTGGCATGCTTATCTTTGTTTTGTTTTGGTTGTGTTTTTTTTGTTTTTGTTTTGTTTTGGTTTGGTTTTTTTTGCTTGCAAATCAGAAACACTAACTGATAACAGCAGTGTGTACAGCCAACTACACTCTCTCTTTCTGTTTCCTTCAGGAGCTGATGCAAAATAGTCACTGTGTGCTGAGCAAATGGAAGAACAAATATGTCTGTCAGGTAAAATGGTTTAACATGATTTTGCAGTGTTTAACCAGTGGAGCTGAAAACTATGCAGTAATTGGTATTCTTGTGTTATGATAGGTAATAGACAAAAAGTTTTTAAAAGCAGATATTTCATAGTTTGAATTCTAGTCATTCTAGAACTAACATTAGATTGACACAGGCCACCAGGCTGCCTCATTAATCAGTATAGTTGTACTGACACTATAAATGCTAATAAAAATCTTTTCAGATAGTATTTTTTGTTTGGATTTGTCTGAATGTTCTGTTAGATGTTTACTGGCCTGGATTTAATCATATTTTTGAATGAAGATGAAACCATAGGGCAGAGGTTTTGGCATATCACTCTAGCCAACATTTTAAAGTACAATGCTAACGGAATCAACAAGTGGACTAGAGTTAGACCTAACATAACAAGACATTTGCTCTTATTTTTTGAACACTTTAAGTTGTGCTGTGTAATATCATAGCTACCAGTCAGTCACCTATGGCTGTTTAAAAATAAATTTAAACTAATTAGAATTAAATTAGAGTTCCATACCCATATTTTAAGTGCTCAGTAGCCACATGTTATCATATGGACAATATAGATACAGAACATTTCCATTACAGAAAGTTCTGTTAGCACAGTTGGGGCCTAGACAATAGGAGCTACATCTTGAATGGGTCTAGATTCAGGACATAATAATTAGTGGTGATTGATCACAAAATAATGGACAAATTCCTCAGCTTTGTTTATAGACTTAAGATACACTGGTTGCATGGAAAAATCGGACTTGTTTACGATTAAAAGAATCATTAGTCATATTCTAATCATACAGGTAATTGAAATTACATGAGTTTTACTAATAATTATAACTTTGATGGAATTGAATATCCTATATGAATTTAAATTCTGACTTGTTTATAATGTGATTTATTTTAGGTCTGACTACTCTTGTTTGAGGTTTGGGCCCATGACTGTATCTATAGATCTAAAACATTGAATTTGTAGTTATTACAAATATATCTTAACTGAATATTTGAATATGGGCTATCATTTCAGTGGAGTCTAGTTTTTCCTCATTTTTTGTTTAAACTAGTCTACTTTTACTGATGAAAGTAACTGGTTACCTCTTCAAATGGCATGAATTATTATTTTCCAGAGCATGTTTGCTAGGCTGAATTAATATTATTAGAAGCATAATACTTTCTAAATTTGACTCATAATTTGTTTTCACTAGACTTTTAATCAAACTTTAAAACTTGAATGCAAAAAAACTTGAATGAGTTTTTATCAAAACTCATAATTTGTTTTTACTAGACTTTTAATCAAACTTTAAAACTTGAATGCAAAATATGCTCTAGAGAGTTTTAAACTTAGTACAACTCAAATTGTACTTCTTGATGCCATTACTCACCTTAAAAGCAGGCTCAGATTTATTTGACTGGAGGGCAAGCCTACTACCTATAGTAGTAAGAGGTGTGTCTGATGATCTCCACCCTTACCGTCACACGGGTTAAGTTGGAACATGTCAGGCATCTTAAAATATGCAGTGAAGCATCCCAATAGGACAATCCTTTTTAAATAGACATTATTGCATTTTATTTTTTAAGCAAGTTTGTATGTATTTGTATATAGGTGGAATCAGGAAAAGGATGTCCCTCACTATTAAATTAATTCAATGCAGAAAAGGAGTTTTCATGATAGAATATACATAAACTTCTGTAATTTACATCAAACTGACAATAGTGGTTTCTTAGTCTGTTGTACCAATGAGTTGCTTTTAATATTTCCAATGGAGTTTATCCTTCTTTCTGTTTTGTCATATTTTGTGCTTTGTTTGATTGTTAAGTTAAAATAGTCCTTTTACGACCAGCACATTCTTGATATGATGATATATTTTAATAAGATTACTTGACTTCCACCCTCCCCACTTGACCTCCACCCTGTGCACTAGTCCAGGTTAGTCCCCACATCTTTAGGGCCTTTGAGAGACCTCCTAACATTATCTGTCCTTTTCCTAGGTTTCTAAATAAGACTATGAGCTAAGTCTTCTAAAAATATGTGTGCATGTATGTTATCCTAAAGATCTCTTATATTACAGTAAGTTAAAAATTTTGTGCTCAAGCTAAATTTTTAAAAGGATCCCCTTATCCTTTTGTTAGTTGCAAAGTAAGTGCTCCCCAAACTACTGGAGGGTCCTCCTTTTTGTGTGTTATCCAGCATGGTGGCTACAAAGATAACATGTGCTTAAATTTCTGTAAGTGGTTTCCCCCTATATTTAACCCTAAGACCGTAACAGTTGACTACAACATACTCTTTTTTAAAAAATATTTAAATGTTTTTATTTATTTTTGAGAGAGGGAAAGATACAGAGTGCAGGCAGAGGAGAGGCTAGAGAGAGGGAGACACAGAATCTGAAGCAGGCTCCAGGCTCTGAGCTGTCAGCACAGAGCCTGACATGGGGCTCAAATTCACAAACTATTAGATCATGACCTGAGCCGAAGTCAGACGCTTAACCGACTGAGTCACCCAGGCTCCCTGACCATGACATGTTCTTAAACAAGGGATGAAAAAAAGTCCCTCAGTACCTTGGTGCTAAAATAGTTGAACTCTCAGTCTCTGATGGAGACTGACGCCTCAACTGATACAAATTTTTTACCCCCCAAAATGGCAAATTTAAGACTTATAGAATTTAGCTTGGTTGTCTTCTTTTTAAGGGATCCTATTTCTTCAGAAGGCCCAATTGTTTGGAAATTAGCAAGGCAACTACAACAACATAAAGTATTTCAGAGGATACAGTTTGAGCTTGGATTTTCCCCTCTTATCAAATATTGAGATTCTTTGTTGTCATAATAACCAACACTTAGTTCATATTGTTGATCCAATGATCTGTAAACTGTACCATTTAAAAATAAATCTCTCCACTGTCAAAGTCAATCAAGACTTACCTATACATGTCTGTAGGAAAGCTGTTTTTTTAAAGCTGGTTTTTCAAACTAAGCCTGTTCCTAGCTTGAAATGCATTTAAAAATATGAGATGTAGTTTATAGTTTTAGTTTTATTAGCTATCAAAGTATTTCTTTTTTTGATCTCCTAAAATCATTTTATTATAAGAAAGTGTTTAATAATTTCTAGCTTTGAATTTTGTTTCTTTAAAAAATTTTTTTTTAATATGTATTTTTGAGAGAGAGAGACAGAGACAGAGACAGAGGATGAGCAGGAAAAGGCAGAGAGAGAGGGAGACACAGAATCTGAAGCAGGCCCTAGGCTCTGAGCTGTCAGCACGGAGCCCGATGTGGGACTCAAACTTACGAACTGTGAGATCATGACCTGAGCTGAAGTCAGACGTTTATCTGACTGAGCCACCCAAGTGCCTCTCCAGCTTTGAATTTCTTAAACTATTTACAAACTATTCAGTTTACAAATATTTTACAAAGAGAATGATAGTTTCAGCATTGAGTGACTATTAAATTGTATATCATTATGGTGGGATGTTTGAATTCTTTAAATTATTGTGCTTCAAGTCATAATCATTTTGCAAGTTATTGCATAATTATTTAAAAGCAGTGTTATTAAGATAGATGTAAACCCACGTATGTTGATTTTAGATTAAATTATTGGAATCATATGTGTACAGTCAACTACAAAAATGTACAATATAGTTAGCTCTACCTTGATTTCTTTCTCTAACAGTTCTGCATTTCCAGTACAATTAAAAAATACTTTTTTATGTCTTTATTTTATTTTGAGAGACTGAGATAGGGGAGGGGCAGAGAGAGAGGGAGATGCAGAATCTGAAGCAGGCTCCAGGCTCTGAGCTGTCAGCACAGAGCCTGATGTGGGGCTTGGACCCACAGACTGTGAGATCATGACCTGAGCCAAAGTCAGACACTTAACCACCCAGGCGCACCCCAGTACAATTTTAAAATGCCAAGAAAAGATCATCTTTTTAAATTCTTGTAATGAATTACTTGCTGTGCTATGTAAAAATATAAATTATTTTCTAAGCCTATCACAGATAAATTCTGAGTTTATGGAACTCATTTTATCTTAATTTCCTCAGTTATAGAATTGATAGCATTGTTACCTGATCTTTCTTTTCATCTGATTGTATGAAAATCAGTTGGTTTTCTTTTGGTTTTCACATAAGATAACAATTGCCATACCATGAGGACTTTAAATTACATCTATTAGAAACAACATATTACTTATATAAAACTTATCACCGTATTTATTGACTGTCATCATTATGGATTGCACTAAGGAAGTGTAAGATGTGGGCTGAGTCTCCAGTATAACCTAGTCAAGGAATATGGACACATGAAATCACTAAGACACTAATGAGTGCTCAGTTGTACAATACCAAGTAAAAAAAATAGTAATGTTTAGAGAAAAGTAAAGTTTAGTAAAAAGTAAGAGTTTAGAGAGAAGGGATAGAGATTAGCCTGGCAGTGAAATGTAGGATAAAACAGGAAAACTAGAGGCAGACTGTATAAAGAACAAGTGAGATGGGATAATTATTTTCTGGAAGCACCAACCCCGGGGTTTCTGGACTTGAAGATGCTAAGCACAATACTCAGTAGAAGTGAAGTGACTAGACCAAGAATAAGGGGATTAAGTGAGAGTCTGTGTCTAGAATGATGAGATCTTCCCCAGCTCTTTCCCCTCTCTAGCAGCTAGGTGTATGTTTCTATGTAGCCTGTTTAAAGGGTCCTTCTCTGAAAAAAAAAATATTTTGCTTCCCACCAACCTCCCCTCTCTCCTCTGCTGGCCCAGAGCAAAGGATACAGATAACAAATTTGGTAGTTTTCTTTGAAAAGGTAGGTGTGTCTGCCAGTCTCCTTACAGTGGAGTTCTAAGTTAATAAACCTTCCAATGCATAACAAGCTCCCAATCAACTTCTTTTTTTTTTTTTTTTTTTACAAATAGTTTATTGTCAAATTAGTTTCCACATAACACCCAGTGCTCATCCCCACAAGTGTCCTCCTCCATGCCCGTCCCCCCTTCCCCC